TTTATTTTATTTTTTGTTCGGCTTAGTGTAGAAACATGCAACTATAGTATATATTTGATGTGATATTTGGGTTTACAAAAGTAAAAAAAAAGAACATCACAAGTTGATAACCAGTATCAATATTAATTGAATGCATTTAATATCCATCCTAATTGAACGTATCCGTCCAATGTTAAAACATTAAAGACGTACCTAATTGATAATTTTGGATTTATTTAGATTTTAGACAGTCAACAGCTATTTGGTTCTACCTAGCTAGTTCACATTAATTATATTTAAATGTCTTCACTCATACATGCGTTGCAAAATGAAAAAAACGAAGAAAAAGTTTAACTTAACTATGGATTTAACAAAACGCAGTGACGATGCATCATCATTATATACAATATTTTCATATCACAACGTGCATTATATAAGTGGTATTATTAAATACAAAGATGCGGGTGCTCTCAATGAGTAACGCATGATCGCTCTATAATTTCATAAAAAATACATACTCCACGAGGAGCAGCAGCAACACCAACTTCAAATATATAACAATTTAACATTCTTCACTGTGACTTTAGACATCATGATTTTTTTGGTTGTCTCTTCATATTTACTTTTTAAAAATATATATTTCATTAGCTGGTGATAAGTCTTACTTCATCGAAGAACCATAATTACACAACAAGGTATGGTCTGATTAAAGTTTGGGGGTCTTTGTAATCAGGCCCAGTGGCGGAGGCACGTTAATGATTGTGGGTGCATTTGACACCATTAAAATTTTAAAAACATTTTAATTACATTAAAATTTAAATATATATCAGTTTAATTATGAAGCTTGAAACCAACCCAATTATTAGAACTCAACTCATTTGTAAGTTTGACACCATCAAACAATTTTCCTAGATCCGCCTCTGATCAGGCCTACAATAATCATTCCCAATTTGAAATATTACAACTTATAAGGGACCACAATAGTGAAAAGGCATAGATGCATTGAGCCAGTGGCGACGAAAAAAGTGCATTAAACCAAAGGAATATATGTTGAGTATTATTTTAATGTGGGATATAGACAAGATTACATGTGTGAAAAATGAAAACTAATACTATGCTATTTATTATAATGATAGTATCTGAAAATGTAAATCTAAGTACAAAATTCGATTATCGAACTCGATTTACATGACCATTTTATATTCTTATGCAAGAAAAATAAGTCATTTGTCAAATCATTTAGCTCTTAATTGTTAATTTCGAATCCCAAAAACATAAGCTTTAGCATTTTTTTGAATAATCAAAGATCTTCCATTGAATTCCTATTCAACATTGTTTAATAACTTAATTCAAACAAAAACCAAAGAAAGAGCGTGAATTGACTTTGACCACAAGACCAAATTCTCAAAACATGCACGTATTTGCTGCCATTTTTTGACCGCGTGCCACGTAGATAAAAAGTCAAAATTGTTATTTTATTTACTTCAACATAAGTCAAATAAGCATCTCGGTTTTCAACATACCGGCACCAACTTTTCCAAAGTCTGTATGTATGTACCTCCAAAACCGGTTTGTCATAGACCCGGTCAACACATAAAAATAGTTGACCAACAACCAAGTGATACCCCTTTAAAAGGAGTCGCATCTGCGTTACCAAGTTCCATCATCAACCTAACAACACACAACACTACTACATATCTCTTTCCTAAAAGGATTAAGAAATCAACAATGGAGAATCTGAGAAATGGCCAAGAAAACGGTTCTCACTGGATCCCATTTACGTTCTTTGATCAATCTTCAGTGACGATTCCTCTCTTGAAGTGTTTCGGTCTCGATAGCTCTTCTTCATCATCATCTTCTTCTGGCGATTTTTCGTCATCTCACAGCGAGGAAGATGAGAGTATCGATATAAAGGAGGAGGAGGAGGAAGAATATGACATGACCATTGAAATCAAAGCGCGAGGGAAGACCAAGACTAAGCCTCAGCCAAGCTCAGGAAAAGGAGGCAAACACAATTAGAGTTCATATACAGAGGATACAAATAAATGCATTTGTATAAAAATACTTAGCTATAACTATAATATAGTATATACTTATTATATATAGTCATTTGTTTTGAATGTAAATTGGATTAATAAAGATCGAGCTGAGTTTCATTTTATTGTTTTGGTTACCGAATAACAGAAGTTAATTACAGAATCACTGATATATCAAAGTTAAATGCAAATTCAGTCTCTATGGACCTAACCGATTAGGCCCATTAATAATTTGTAAAGACCAAATTGTCGACCCATAAATAGTGTCTTTGAAGTTTGAACTTAATACTGACGACATCCTTGAGAGTAAATTTCATCTATTGGTTAATGCCATTATTCTCCGGTTTAGAGATAATAATTACTATCCAGCCTGTCGAAACAACATTTTTCATTGGTGCAAGTTAAACAAAAAACAGCTTTCTATTTTTCCATATTCATTATACACAATAACCGATAACATTTAGCCGTTGGATGTATGACACGTCAGCGATAAACAAACGTACGATCATTTCAATAATTACGATTTTACCCCTTTAGTAAGTACCCGCGCTTAATTTATTTATTTTAGGGAAAGTTAAAGAAGAAAAAAAAAAAAAAAAAACTAAACAAACTCATAAATTTCTCTACTTACTGGAAGGGACGTTAAAATCACGCAAGAAAGGACGACTGCAAAAAGGAGAGGTACAGTCCAAAAAAAACCTCTTCGTCTTCTTTGTTTTTCGAAATTCTCCGATCCTAACCGCCATTAAACCCTAGCTTGCTTTTTTTTTTCTCCTCTGTTTCTCTCTTCTTCTAGCGAAAGCTGAAGATTCACATTCGCCTCTTCGTGCTGATATCTTTGTGTTTCTTGGATTTTTTTTTGGTGTAGTTACACTCGAGAATGAGGAAAACGAAGAAGAGAGGAGGTTCGCGAGGAGGCCGTAAAACTGGTGCGTCTTCGTCGGCGAGTAAGAATGATGATGCGGTGGTAGAGACCACGACGCAGGAGACTCAGCCTACTCAGGAGACAGAGGAAACAGAGGCTAAGGTGGAATCTCCGGCGCCTGAGGAGGAGGGGAAGAACGAAGAAGAGGCGAACGAGAATCAGGAAGAGGAAGCGGGGAAGGTTGAATCTAAGGCTGCGGAGGAGGGAGAGAAAGAAGAAGAGGCGAAAGAAGACCAGGAAGAGGAAAAAGAAGAAGCGACGAAACCTGATGAAAGTGCGAGCCAAAAGGAGGAGACGAAAGGTGCGTCTTCTTCACAACCGGAGCTTCGTCGTGGTAAGCGTAAGAGAGTCACAAAGACGGAAGCGGAGAAGAAACCGACTCCGAGAGCCAAGAAGCGAGCTAAAACGACCAAGGTGCAAACTGCTGAGCCTGAGTACTTCGAAGAGAAGCGTAATCTGGTATTCTATTTTACTCATCTTCCGGTTTGGATTTACGGTTTATCTGAGCTTTAGATTTCTGAGTTGATTCTGTGTGAAACGATTAAGGATTTGTTATTCGTCTTTCGTTGACTTGTTGTGTGTGTGGTTTAACGATTACGAAGTTAGATCTGAGATGTTTTCTTACGTTTTTTTGTTCTTGCAGAATGTTATAGTTATAGTGTCTTGCTCAGAAGTTTTTGAACATTTTGAGTTCTATGTACCTTTGTTTTTTTCTTTCATATCTCTGATGTATAGTTTTCATGTTTGTTGTGTATAACAGGAGGATTTGTGGAAGGATACATTTCCAGTGGGAACGGAGGTATTTAGTTTCAAGAAGTTTGGCAGCAACATTGCCTTTGGAGCTTTTTATCTTCATGTAAATGTGGCTCTGTAAATTGTGAATGCAGTGGGACCAACAGGATGCAGTTTATGATTTCAACTGGGATTTTAAAAATCTTGAAGTAAGTGGCTTCTATCATACTGTTTCATTACCCATTGTTAGTAATTTATAGTTCATTTAGTATTTTAAGAAGTACTCTTTGCATTATATGACAGGAAGCTCTGGAGGAAGGTGGAAAGCTCTATGGGAAGAAAGTCTATGTTTTTGGCTGCACTGAGTGTAAGTTATTTGTAGATGGCACTATTTGTTTCTTGATATGAGATTAAGGTGATATTTATCTTTTTAACTGATTTGCTTGAAAATCCATCTGGTACTGACAATGTGCACCTCTCACTTCGCCTTTTTATTTCCTCTATCTTATCATTGCAGCTTATTCAGTCAATTACAAAAATGAGAAAAAGGATGTCATTGTTCCTGCTGTCGTTTGTGTAAGCTTTGGTTTCGTTTTTTTATATTATGCCACTGGTGTTTGAAAAATAAGCTCGGCATTGGGATTTGGTTTAGGTTCCTTGGGAAAACAAGATCATATTGTTTATCTAGCTGATGGTTAATTTTGGTTCTTATCAATTTACAGATTGACTCATCTATTCCCCCGTCTGATAAGATAGGAGTTGCATCGGTTCAAGGAGAGGTTGGGGAAATTATTCCAATGAAAAATATGAAAATGGATTGGGTTCCTTACGTCCCACTTGAACAAAGGTATATAGTCATCCCTGAGTATTACTCTTAAGCAATGAGAAGAGAAACAGATAGTACATTTGTGTATTACTCTTCTTACTTTTGATGTTTATGGGGGTTGTTGCTAATTTCATCTGCTTTTGTTCTTCTGCAGGGATAGACAAGTTGATAGAAAGAACTTTCCAGTTTTCATCTTGGGCTGTACTCAGAGAAGGTAAATAATATGTGGTATCTTTTTCTCTCAATGTTTTATTTCCATGCAAGTTATAGAAGACGTGTTTTGTTCATTTGCTTTGTAGAGGAAAAAGTATTACATTACATATGGTTTTTTATCTGAAAATGTGATGCAACACTTTGCATTCTTAGCTTATTCCCATTCACATTCAGCAACTTAGAGTGCAAAATTTGGTGTATTCAGCCTAGCTTTGTATATATTCTTTGCAGGTCTGCTCTCAAGCATTTGCCGGAGGATCGTGCTAAAAAGTTCAACTATTGCCTTCCTTGTGAGCTTAAAATTTGATATGCTTAGCTGCTTATTATTGATGATATATTCTCAGTACCATGTTTTCATTTGCTTGAAATTTGTTTTCCCTAGACATCAGACTCTTAATATTACTGATTTGATTTAATTTGCAGACATCAACAACCCATTTAAGGTAGATGAATCTGAGCAGAGCACTGTGGTTCAAATAAGGTTCCCTTCTGAGCCACAAGTAAGTTATATTTGTCTTCCTTATTGGTACGACAATACAATTTGGTCGTTTCATATTAAATCAAACTTACTATTCCTTTGTGCAGGTTGAATGTGAATATGACTGGCTGAAAAGCGACGTTGAGGTGCAGTATCTGACTTTTCCAATACAACACCTTACTTGAATTACTTCTCATCTCAGTTTTATTTTAGGATTTCACCGACAATCTGATCAAGGAGGAGGTATTACTACCGGAACAAAAGGATGCGTTTGAGGTAAGCAAGCAACAACTGGAATTGATTTGATAAATTCATTTGAGGGTTTTCTCTAAAATCACTCACCCATATGTTTCATTTTTTCAGGAGTTTGTCAAAGAGCAAAGTAACATAGCTATGGCAGCTTATGACAGGGTATTATGTTTCATACCCTCTGCAACAGAGCCACACATATACTTAGCAATGAATTCTTCAATTGGCAGGCACAAGAAGCCCGAGAGAAAGTAAAGGAAGGACTGAGCGAAGAAACAAAAAAAGCTTATCAAGAAATGAAGTTGTACAAGTTTTATCCATTGCTTTCACCAGACACACCCGACACTGCAGGAATTGAGAAGGTATAACTCAAATACAACTTAGGTTGTCAATGGAACTCTGAATATTAATTAGACAAAATCTGATATCTTTGTTGGTCTTTGTGCAGTCCCCGTTCATAAACAGGTACTTCGGGAAGGCTCACGAAGTCCTGTAATCGTTTCTCCAAACCCAGGAACCTTTTTGTGATTCGGCAAACATTATGAACAACTGAGAATCAAAAGAAAACCACTTTGGGATTGTTTAGGCCAAAGATACAACACACTTACAAATAACAATAGTCTTTTGGTGCCAGATTTTTTTTTGTTCTCTGTTTTCTTACTTGATGCAACCAACCAAACAGTGTTGAGAGACTAAGCAAAGTTTTAATCTAAAGAGAAAGAGTAACAACAAAGGAACAACAAATAGAGGAGACCTTTCCTCCGCATTTTAGTGACGAGAAGCCGAAGAAGAAGCAGTAGCAGAATCTGACATGGTAGAAGTTCTTTTCTTCCTCTCTTCCTCATACTCGGCATCATCAGTCTGAAGCTGGAATCTACAGACAGGACATGAGTTTCTTGTTCCTAACCATGGCATAATACAATCTCCGTGGTAACAATGTCCACACGGTAACTTCTTACCGGTTTCTCCCATCACCATTCCATCTTTACACACAGCACAAACCATAACCGTCTCTCCCTCCGAAGAAGTAACCTGAAAAGTCTCCAACGCTTCTATGGCCGATTTTGCAGCCGGTGGTGCGCCTCTCCTTCCACCGCCACCACCATCTCCTTCTGCTAAGTTCTGTAGCAAAGCTTCGTATCCGGCTGAATCGTCGATGTAATCAGCCGGATTTCCTGTGTACCGTTCTGATTCCATACGGAACTCAATCGAATTGTCTTCGATTCCCATCAAAATCTCAGCCCAATCGAGAATTCTGTTTCTTCCGGTTCTCGACCGCGTCGTCGTTAGAGGAAATCGATTTCTCCTCCTCAGATCATCTTCTTCCTCTTCTTCGTCGTTGACGGTTAAATTCTCTTCCTCATCCTCCTCTTCTTCTTCATCTCCATCTTCTTCATCTTCAACTTCGTCGATTTCGGTTCTACTATTGAGCTCCAATCTGAAGAAATCATCTTCGTAAGATAACACATCAAGGTGTCGTGGTGGTGAACGCTGAGAAGGCGCGTGGGCTAACAAGCGGAGCATCTGGAGGAAATGCGAGCCAATACTGGAGTCTTCTACAGTCAGATCTGGGGAAAGTGGCTGCGGTGGCGCCGGCGATGAATAAGCGGCCGGAATCGGCTGAATTGACTCGACGAAACCTTTGTTACATTCGCAGCACACGACAAAGTCATCTAACGTTTCAACGACGACGCGTTTGTTGCAGTGATAGCACCAGTGCGACGCCGTGGCACCCGGAGAAGACGACGGAGCATCGGACATCGTGCTATATATCGTCGGGTTATCGGGCTTTCGGGTCCGTATTCGGATCCGATAAGCCGATTAAGAGGAGGATGGAGAAAACAAAAAAGGTCTCTGTATTATTATTATTATCGAATTTTAAGACATTATAGTATCCTACTCTTATAATTTGACCCATAAAACGCACTTGACCCACCCACAATATTATAATTTTTTTTTTTTTTTTTTGTCATCAATATTATAATCTTTTCTTGTATATATATATCACCATCATCATAATACTTACAATTTAATCAAACTGTTGAATTTGCTGTCAAACATAAATTTTAAATTCAAATTCTTCAATCCAATTTGAAACCAGCTTCCAAATCAAAAAGTGAGTTGCACTTTTATCCAAAAACTTAACATGATAAAGAAGTTAATTTGACCCATAAAATTTGTCATATCGAAAAGCAAATTTTATTTCTTTTGACAACAATAATATAACTCGAATACATTATACATAAACTTTGTAATAGCCATACAATTGTTTCAACAGCACCCATACAATAAAATAAGATTAAAAAAAAACCCAAAAAGAAAAGCCAAAATCCAAATCCAAATGGTTACAATAAGTTACAATACAAAGAGGGCCTAGTCTCAAACCTCAGGAGTCTAACCCACCAAGAAACTGATACATAGCGAGGTCTCTCCATTCACCAAATGTCGCAAATGGCAAAAGACCGTTTATGGCTGGAAGAACAAACAGAATCACCACATACAAGACACTGCGCCTTGCCCAATATGGAAACATACTGTTACAACGGCTCGATTGAGTCCCGTTTATACGACCGAACATTAGACTATACAAAGCTAATGTGAAGACATTTGCAACGAATTGGAAAAGGCAAAACACTTCCCAAACAATTAGCCAGAGTTTGCCGTTACCGCCCAGTGTGTCCACACACAACTTACCTGATATACCGCAAAATATACCGAGGAAAAGAACGATGAAACTTATCGGCATTGTCTGCTTTGTACCTACCGAGCGTTTGCTTATAAAGTATGTGAAGACAATGATCATTAAGACACCGAAAAAGAACTGCACCCAAACTCGAACCCGGCAGATGAAGATGTTGAAGCCTGAGTTCATCAATGAAACTTGTTTAGGAACCCACCACGATGAACTTTTCTCCTCGGATGGCTCGCATACTGAGGTTGCGTCCTCGATTCTCTTTTGTGAAAAATTGTAAACGCCAAGTAACATGGAAGCCAACATGCTACAGACACTTACGACGAGCCAATCCATGATTCTTGTGACCATCTCAGCTTTTCTTGTATCTTCTAATTCGGTTTTGAATTTCTCCGCTCTGAATGCAGCTTTCAAACCACCCATCTCTAGCTTCGATTTCCCCAGATTGTTTGATTCGTATTTTAATGATAGATCCATCTCCTTCAACATTAACTTTCTCCTTGTAAGACCATTCTCCTCGGACTTTAGGTCGTTTGCTCGCTTTAGCTCTTCTACAGACCTATCGAATGTGGTCAAAGACATTGATGAACTGCTAGGAAGGACACAAGAGAGTTGTCGAGTCTGTTCGTACAGGACAAGCTCATTCACGAAAGAGGTTGCTCTTGCACTGCCTTGTATCACTTCATAAGCAGACGTAGCAGATGAAGTCTCCTTTTCAAACTCGGTGTCCGAGCATCCGTCTATTGTAGAGCGATCAAAATTACAACTCCTAACATCATTATTGTTTAACTGATGTGGATTTGCACATTCATTGGTCAATTTAAGGATCTTTAGAGTACTGTTGAATGATTGCTCAAAGTTGGTCGCAAAGGAACCAAGCTTATTACCATAAACCTGTAATCACATCATTATGAATTAGAGAGTCTATAAATTGAAGAATGCGAAAAAAATAGGGGGATTTTAGCTTACATTGGCTAATGATTCTGTGACAGCGGTAGCAGAGATCTGGAGAAGCATAATCAATGAAATTCGTGTTTCACTACCAAAACGAAGAAACTATGGCAAAAGAGAGATTGAACAGAAACTGAGACGTAATCATTTGAAGTTCATACTACATACCTCAGCAAGATCATCAACATAAACATTCTGACCCGCGGCATTCTTTCTCGCAAGAACCTAGAGAACAAGAAAACAGAGTTAAAACTACAGAGCAATGCAAGTCAATGACTTTGGCGGCTAAGTAGGATGAAGTTTGGTGAAATCAAAATTAGAACTACAAATTCGTGTAGAAAGGCTCAAGCTTTAAGACAAGTGAGAGACAGGACAATTTAACTCTTCAACATTGAAGCTCGATCATAGACCCCCAAGAAGAACTTCAGCTTCTATTGATCGACTCTGATTGAATTTTGAGGAGAAGATCCTCTCTTCGATTCAGGGTGAATTCAAGCAAGTACTACTGAGAAGACAATTCAGATTCAATCCTTTGTCTGTGATTCAGATTTTAAACAGAAGATCCTCTCCTCAGTCCAGTTATGAATCAATAAAACCTAATTGAAAGACTTTGTATTTAATACTCCCTAAAGATACAAACTTTTAGCACATCAAACCTAGTATTCACGCAAGGTCAACTACAGGAACAAAACTGAAACAACCCGTAACAGCAAAGCCAATTTCGTATCAAAAGAGTCATGTGATGCAATAAAGATAGAGAAAGAGAGATAAAGTTTGGAAATTGATCGAACCAGATTAGCTAAAGCCGCAAATGAAAAGCCCAGAGGCTTGGCCAAGGCTTCAGCTTGTCGTTCACCAACGCTTCGTCGAGCCATACCTAACCGCACCGTAGGGTTTCGTAATCTATGAACCAGTCTCGTAACCCTTTTAGAAGAATTGGGGTTAGAGGTAGAAGATGCGGAACATGAGGAAGAAGAAGCTTCGTCGTTGTTCATAATCTCTTTCTTCTTTCCCTTGAGTTTTCTCTTTTCCAAATTCGATGGATTCGTTTCCTTCTTCTTCTTCTTCATCGTCTCATCTTTATGTTTGTCGTCAGATTGATAATTAGCCTTTGAATTCGCCGGATCGGTGATGGGATTTTGGGGTTCCGTCGAAGGAGCGAGGAGGAGGGCTTCCATAGTATTAAAACATAAGTTATGGGGTGAATTTGCAACTTTGAGAAAGTATTTAACTTGCAAGACTTTGGTCGCTTCGTGACTAGTGAAAAGTTTCGAATTTCCAACTTTTTCCTCTCTTTATTTTATTCTTTTAATTAGCTTAATATAGGAAAAAAAAGATTCTTCACCTAAATATCTGAATTGATTTTGGGTTAAAAGACTTTTAAGTTCAATGAATTCTTCAAAGTTTATATTCTTTATTATATCATGTATATATGTTAATGTCAATTAAATAGGTAAATAATATGTTTACTCTATTTGTAGCGATGATTCGATGTTTCTAGTTAGACAGGTCATGCTACTTTGTTATATAATGTTAGGATTAATTTGCACACAAAGGATTAAATCATATTTTGAATTCGTTATTTTTCTAGAAACCATGCCAAACTAGACACAGTAATTACACAAGTGTGAATAACAATGAGTGGTGATTGTGTGTGTTCAATGAATGGAATTGGTTCTCAGTACTTGAACAAAAAAGTCATAGTACATAGCTAGGCCGACCGGATTACATACCAAGTAGTCGAGTTTAGTACCGAACCAATCAGTTTGGTCTGGAGATGGACCATAAAAGTTTGTGGCTCCGATAAATAACACGATGATGTGTCTACATACAACCAATCAGAACACACGAACATCTCCTTCACTAATCTCATTTATGCCACGTGTCCTTTTCATATCCACTCCTTTTATTTTATCATAATTGTTTAATTTTAACATTCTCTGGTTCCTCATGAACCTCAAAAAACCTCTCACTGCAAAGTGCCAACAAACAACAAGTCTTCTTCTTCTTCTTCAAAATCTCTTCCACGCAAATAATCCATGAGAAATTAGGGTTTTATTTGAGATCTCTCTTCCGAAATATAACCATCAATGGCGACTTCTTCTTCATCGTCGTCTCTGCTTTTACCAAACATCAATTTCAACTCCAGACAATCTACAACAGTCGCCGGAATTTTCTTACCCAGAAACCGATTAAGCTACAATCACAATCTCCAGCTTCGTACGAGAATAATCAGAGCTTCTAAAGACGATAATGTCGCAGTGGAAGATCGTGGCAATGCAGTGATCAATGGAGATTATAATAACGGAAGTGCCCGTTTAAACGGTAACGGCTCTGCGAGAAAATCTGTCAACGGTGATTATAACGGAAGTGCTCGTTTAAACGGTAACGGTAACGGTAGTTTGGTGAAGTATGTGAACGGAAGTGTAACGGTGGAAACGGAGGAAGTGACAAAGAAGAGGAAAGAAGAAGTGAGGAAGAAGAGAGTAGAAGATATTGGTCAAGAGGACGCTTGGTTTAAGAACACTCAACAAAAACAAGTTGAGGTATAACACTAAAACACAAAGTGATTAACTTTTTTAATCTAAATCGTTTTGTTTAATGAAAGTTTGCGACTTTAATATTTGTACAGGTTTCTGTTGCACCTGGTGGTCGATGGAATAGATTCAAGACTTACTCAACTATACAAAGAACATTGGAGATTTGGGGGTTTGTTGTACAGTTTATTTTCAGGACATGGTTAAGCAATCAGAAGTTCTCATATAAAGGTTGATACTTGTTATTATTTTGCTTATGTAAAAGACCATTTTAGGATTAGGATCATTCTCATTTGTCTAAATTCTTGAAAAATCGTGTATATTAGGGGGAATGACTGAGGAGAAGAAGGTTTTAAGAAGAAAGATTTTGGCTAAGTGGTTGAAAGAAAACATTTTGAGATTAGGTCCTACATTTATCAAAATTGGGCAACAGTTTTCTACTAGAGTGGATATTCTTCCTCAAGAGTATGTTGATCAATTGTCTGAACTTCAGGTTTGATTTCTTCTTATTCTATTTGAATTGCACTTTTGACTTCACTGCGAGGCTCTTCTTTGTTGCATTTTAAGTTTTTATGATCTTGCTTTGCAGGATCAAGTTCCTCCTTTCCCTTCTGCTACAGCATTATCCATTGTTGAAGAGGAGCTTGGAGGATCTGTTGAGGACATTTTCGACCGTTTTGATTA